AATTTATTGGGCATTCTTGGGATTTTTTGGGAATTCTTGGGATTTTTTGGGATTTATTGGGAATTATTGGGATTTATTGGGAATTATTTGGATTTTTTGGGAATTGGTGGGATTTAATGGGAATTATTTGGGAATTATTGGGTTTTATTGGGATTTTTTTTGGGAATTCCTGCGAATTTTGGGATTTTTTTGGGAATTATTGGGAATTATTTGGGAATTATTGGGAATTTTTGGGGTTTTTTTTTTATTTTTTGGGAATTATTGGGAGTTATTGGGATTTATGGGTAATTATTTGTATTTATTGGGATTTTTTGGGAATTACTGGGTTTGAGAATTCTTGGGATTTTTTTGGGAATTGTTGGGAATTTTTTTGGAATTATTGGGTTTTATTGGGAATTTTTGGGATTTTTTGGGATTTTTTTGGGGAATTATTGAGAATTTTTGGGGATTTTTGGGGGAATTATTGGGATTTATTGGGAATTCTTGGGATTTTTCTGGGATTTATTGGGATTTTTGGGGGAATTATTGGGATTTATTGGGAATTATATGGATTTATAGGTATTTATTCGGAATTCTTGGGATTTTTGGGAATTATTTGGGAATTATTGAGATTTTGGGGGATTTTGGGGGAATTATTGGGATTTATTGGAGTTTATTGGGAATTATTGGGGTTTATTGGGAAATTTTTGGACTTTTGGGAATTATTGGGAGTTATTGGGATTTTTTTGGGAATTACCGGGATTAATTGGGAATTATTTGGGAATTATTGAGATTTTGGGGGATTTTGGGGGAATTATTGGGATTTATTGGAGTTTATTGGGAATTATTGGGAGTTATTGGGATTTTTTTGGGAATTACCGGGATTAATTGGGAATTATTTGGATTTTTTGGGATTTATTGAGATTTTGGGGGATTATTTGGGAATTATTGGGATTTATTGGGATTTAATAGGAATTATTGGGATTTATTAGGAATTATTGGGATGTTTTCGGAATTATTGGGATTTTTTGGGAATTATTGGGATTTTCTGGGAATTACTGGAATTTTCTAGGATTTATTGGGATTTTTTTGGAATCGGTGGGATTTATTGGGAATTATTTGGACTTTTTGGGAATTCTTTGGAATTATCGGGATTTAATTGGATTTATTGAGGCTTTTTGGGAATTATTGGGAATTATTGGGATTTTTGGGGATTTTTATGGAATTCGGGAAAGGAAATCCAGGGATTTTCTGGGATTTGGGGGTTTTTTTTTGGGATACCCCAGGAATTCCTTCCCAAATCCCAAATCCCTCCCCGTTTTCCCAGGGAATTCCCTCCATTCCCAGCCTGGGATTGGATCCGGAATGAACCTGGGATTATTCGGGAATTATTGGGGAATTATTCTGGGAATTATTTGGGAATTATTGAAGCCATTCCGGGATCCAGGGCGCTCAGGATCCATCCCGAGGGGTTTTTATGGAATTCTGGGATAGGGAGACCCTTCCTGGAGTCCCCAATTCCCAGGGAATTCCCAAAATCCCTTCCCTTGGGATGGGGCCGGATCCAACCCCAGGCTGGGATTTGGGAGGGAATTCCCTGGGAAAAAACTCGGGAATTTGGGATTTGGGCCGCAGTTCCCAGCGAATCCCCGCGAGCATCCAAGGAAAAGCTGGGAGAGCGGGATGAGCTTCTTGGAATTCCCTGGGGAATTTCTTCCCGGTTTTTCCCGGGCCGGCAGCGAGAGGGTTACGAGGGGAGGCGGGACCGCCCAAAAATCCCTGGAAAAGCCCTTCCCGCTTTTCCTGCCTCCATCCCGAGCTTTTCCCATGGCCCGCTCCCGGCCGGGAGGAGGATGCGGGGATCGGGAATGAGGGGCGGGATCGCATCCCTGGATTCTGTCCCGGATCCGTCGGGAATCTTCCCGGGAATCCGTCGGGAATCCGTCGGGAATCCGTCGGGAATCCGTCGGGAATCCAGAGGCATCTCGGGAAGGAGGAGCGGGGGAGGCATCGCGACATCTCCGGGACGGAGCTGGGAAGGCTGGGAAAGCCGCACCGGGAAAAGGAGCGGCCGCGGGAGCCGGGAATAAACCGGGAATAAACCGGGAATCCAACCGGGAATCAGCCGGGAAATCAAGCGGGAAATAAACCGGGAAATCAAGCGGGAATACACCGGGAAATCAAGCGGGAATACACCGGGAATCCAGCGGGAAATAAACCGGGAATCGGCCGGGAATCAGCAGGGAAATCAACCGGGAATAAACCGGGAAATAAGCCGGGAATCCAGCGGGAAATAAACCGGGAATCAAGCGGGAAATAAACCGGGAAATCGGCCGGGAAATCAGCCGGGAATCCACCGAGAAATCAGCCGGGAATCAAGAGGGAAATCAGCCGGGAAGGAGCCCGGAATAAACCGGGAATCAAGCAGGAATAAACCGGGAATCGAGCGGGAAATCGGGCCGGGAATAAACTGGGAAGGAGCTGGGAAGGAACCGGGAATCAGTTGGAAAAGAGCCGGGAAGGTACCGGGAATAAACCGGGAATCAAGCAGGAATAAACCGGGAATCAGCCGGGAATAAATCGGGAATCAACCGGGAAATAAACCGGGAATCAAGCAGGAATAAATCGGGAAGGAGCCGGGAATCGGCCGGGAAGGAGCCAGGAAGGTAACGGGAATAAACCGGGAATAAACCGAGAATAAGCCGGGAAATAAACCTGGAATCGGCCAGGAATAAACCGGGAATCAGCCGGAAATAAACCTGGAATCAAGCAGGAATAAACCGGGAATCAAGCAGGAATAAACCGGGAAATAAACCGGGAATCCCGGCCTCTCCCTCCGCGCCTCCCGCAATTCCCGATCCCGGCGTTTTCCCGGGAAAGGCCCCTCAGGACGGCGATGCCGCTTCTCTGATCATCCCCCATTCCCACCGGGAATCCCAAAAAAACCCCGAGAATCCCAAAAAAACCCCGAGAATCCCCCCCAAAAACCACACAAAAACGCCTCCAGGATGCCCCGCGCCTTCTCCGAGCCGGAATTCTCGGCCGAGCACTCCGCCGATTATTCCTGGAGTTTTCCATCCGATCCCGACGGCTCCGGGATCCGCCGCTCCCAGGAATCCCCGGCTCCCCGCTGCCCGTGCCTGCCGCATTCCCGGCGTTTTTCCTTCTCCCCGGAATCCTTGGAAAAGCTCTACCAGACTTATTTCCGCCGCCAGCGCCACGAGACGCTGCTGGTGCTGCTGGTGTTCGCCGCCCTCTTCGACTGCTACATCCTGGGAATGTGCGCCGGCTTTTCCCGCATGGAAAAGCTTTTCCCGGCGCTGGCGGCGCTGGCGGCGCTGGTGGCTCACGGATCCCTTTTCCTCCTCCTCAAATCCCGGCTGCTCCCGGAGCGCTTTTCCCAGAAATTCCTGCCCGGAGCGCTGTGGGCGCTGATCGTGGCGCAGCTGTGGGGGTTGCTGGGGTTGGAATTCCAGAGGGTTTTTCCAGAGGCGGTGGATACGGTGGGCTGGCAGGCGTTCTTCGCCTTCTCCTGCTTCCTGACGCTGCCGCTGAGGCTGGCGCGGATCCTGCTGCTGGCGGCCGCTTCCTGCGGCGGGCACGCGCTGCTGATCCTGGGAATCGCCGCCGTCCGCAGGGAACCGGATTCCAGGGATGGAGCCGGGCTGGGCAGGCAGGGGAGGGAAAAACGGGAATGGGAATGATGGGAATAATGGGAATGGGAATGAGAATGGGACGGGATTCCAGGGATGGAGCCGGGCTGGGCAGGCAGGGGAGGGAAAAACGGGAATGGGAATGATGGGAATAATGGGAATGGGAATGAGAATGGGACGGGATTCCAGGGATGGAGCCGGGCTGGGCAGGCAGGGGAGGGAAAAACGGGAATGGGAATGATGGGAATAATGGGAATGGGAATGAGAATGGGACGGGATTCCAGGGATGGAGCCGGGCTGGGCAGGCAGGGGAGGGAAAAACGGGAATGGGAATGATGGGAATAATGGGAATGGGAATGAGAATGGGACGGGATTCCAGGGATGGAGCCGGGCTGGGCAGGCAGGGGAGGGAAAAACGGGAATGGGAATGATGGGAATAATGGGAATGGGAATGAGAATGGGACGGGATTCCAGGGATGGAGCCGGGCTGGGCAGGCAGGGGAGGGAAAAACGGGAATGGGAATGATGGGAATAATGGGAATGGGAATGAGAATGGGACGGGATTCCAGGGATGGAGCCGGGCTGGGCAGGCAGGGGAGGGAAAAACGGGAATGGGAATGATGGGAATAATGGGAATGGGAATGAGAATGGGACGGGATTCCAGGGATGGAGCCGGGCTGGGCAGGCAGGTGAGGGAAAACGGGGAATGGGAATGATGGGAATAATGGGAATGGGAAGGGGAATG